ATCTCAATTTCAGTTGGGGGTTGGGGGGATGTTTATATAACAATTAAAATTTCATTAGGGCTTTAAATTAGGCATATCTAAGGGCAGGGCTGCTGGAGTGACAGGCTGTCTACAAGGCGTCGCTACATTCTATGAGTCAGATCCAGCCCTTGCTCCTCCACAGCTCAAAATGGCAAACTTGAGGCTTCAAAACAGCAGCAATGGGACACTTAAAACAGTGTAACTGCACTGTTTGCTGCCATTACAACCCTCTGGACACATCTCAGAGCAGCAGCCTCTCCAGCAGCAGCTTTGAACTCTGAAATGTTGAATATGTCAGAGCTTCCTACCACATTTAAAGGTCAACCAGCACTAGTGTAGAAACTACTGCGACCAAGATGTAGACATTAAAGACGTCCTTTAAATTACATGTCATGCCGAGCTGTTTCTGATCAGTGTAATCCGAGGACGAGAGCGCAGTAAGAAACCAGCAGAAAATGTGAATCATAACACAAATTAACCAACACTGGAGTAATTCTCCAGGGATGAAGGTTTATACATGATGTTGCAACATGCTGCAAATACTTGCACAAGCTATTTAGCAACACATGACACACACACCAAGTTCAAGGCATACAATTCACAAAACACTCCAAACCAAATGTTAATTATTCAAATAAACAGAAGCTCCTGCATTTCTTCCAGGCGATATCTCACTGTGCCTTTGTTAATATGTGTGTGTGTGCGCCTCATTTTTTTTGCATGCGAAAGTTTCTGTGTGTGCACTTCTGTGTGTGTGTGTGTGTGAGATGTCACAGAGAAAAACAACCGCCAGATGGCTGTCAGGTATTCCTCCAGGCCTAAGCTTTCAGAGAGCTGACAGAATGTGACAACAACACCTCGTAACCCCTTACACACACACACACATGCACACGCACATACACACACACACACACACACACACTACTTAGACCCTATCAGGATTGGGTCACTTCGCACTTTGCTCTAGAGTGCTCAGAACTCCATTTTCTTTTTATCTCATGATTCACTTTTTCACTTTTGCTTGCCTGAAAACTGTTTCTGTAGCTACACTCACAAATTATTAAAGACAGAATTCTCCTGATGATCAATGACTAAAAAGTGTAATCAATAACATTTTACTGGCTCTTTGCACAAAATGGCAGCAGTGTGTCTAACGTATCTGTTGCTATGTTACCACCAGTTATGCTCAAAGCACCTGAATTACTTTCTCCAGAACCCTCAGTAAACACCAGAGCCTCCTTTCAAACATTGGGGAGCTTTGATTCGTAAAAACTTCAACACTTATTAAATATCTTAATATTAAAGCGGAAACAGAAAACTTTCTCCCTTAGCATTTCCAATTGGTATTATTCTTGGTGATGTAAAAACAACTGTATCGCTGTCCGTTTCCTTTGGAGCCCAGAAAACTAGCAACCACACAGAACAAAAGCTTATTCATTCAGTCTATAATGGAGCATGGTTATTTTAGCTAACTAAATCTACACTAAAAACTAAAACTAGGTGTGAAAGAACATTTTTGTTCACTGAAATAAAAAACAAACACACAGATTTTAGACAAAACACAGACTGAACTGAAACAGTATTGCGTACTTGCAACTGACTAAACTAAAATAACAGAACAACAGAAAATGTCTTTATTTTTAGTCTTTGTCAATCTGGTCAAATTTGTTGAGCATGAGGTGGCAGTGGTGCATAAGTTTAGAAACTGCGATGTCTACATGACTGTGAGTTGCCTTTTAAGTGTTTGTATTGTAAAGCCCAGTTCAGACCAAAGATTCGTGACGAGATGAGCTGAAACAGGCAACTACTTGCGATGCGCCGCTCTGCAACAGTCTAAAAACCTGCTGGTTCACACCAGTGCAACTAGATGAGATGGTGTATCATCTCTATGCAACAAATCTATGAAACTCTGCTCTGTTTGAAGCTTTTCAAGCTTATTTGGTGGCTAAATATAATTTGTAGCTTCTTAAAATATGAATGAGGATAGTGATAGTGAGATACTGGCTACAGTTGCATTTGTAGTAGTGATGAAACAACGAAAAACAGGAACAAAATTAGCATTGAATGGACTGTATTCATAATAAATATGCCACAATAATATAAATAACTAGTGCCAATTAATCAGTCAGTGAGAATGTGTGTGTGTGTGTGGGGGGCATATGTTCTAAAAGCAGCCGTCGGAGATTTGACTAGTGGAGTTGCAGGTGACACCATCAGCCGGCTTGAGTCGAGCACAGACTGGCCAGTTCACACTGCACAAACTAAACTAAAACTAAACATTTTTAAACAGCAACAAATAAACTGAAATGAGCAAGCTCACTCTGGGAACTTACTGAAGCTAAACTGAATTGGAAACAAATATTTAAAATGAAATAAAAATAAAAACTAAAAGAAAAAACTACAAACCAGAAGAAAAGAAAACTATAATAGCTCTGTAATGGAGACATGAAAGCAAATAGAAATGGTACCAGTCTGCCAGCGTGACTGGATCGTCAGTCAGTCATCATTCTCCCAGTGGATGTCTTACCCAGTGGCAGACAGGTGGCACAGTGAAAACAAGGCTAATAAGGAACCATTCTAATTGCAGAGGGTGTCATTGTCACATTGTGCAATCAACATTTATTTCATTATGACACTTTAGAGCAAAAAACTTGCCTATTGCCATCTTGAAAATAGATTGAATGAGAAGCACGAGAAAAAGTTTAATCAAAGTGATGAATCCACAGAGAAATCTTTAGTTTAACCCAGCTCTACTTAGCTGTTTAATATTTGCTTTGTTTTTACAGCCACCAGCCTCACTGTTGTACTTCGGGCTCAGCGCTGTGATAAAGCCACTGTTCACAGCCTGCTCAGCAGCAAACAGCTGCCAGACACAGTTAGAGACTAGCTGGAGAACACGGTGGAGCATTTAGCAGCTAAAGAGACAGATATTTCCATCAGGAGCTGGTGGAGACCAAAAACAGAGCTAAAAGAGTGAATATTGACTTACATTCATCAGGTGGACACAACACCACTCCTAATGAATCATCATGTTGTTATACTTATTTTATCTTATCAGGTCACACAGGAAGTAAATACATAGATGAAACTTTGGACTGTGTTCATGCTATCTTTTTCTTTTTTCACATTGGGCAGATACACTCATTATTCATGAATATGTCTTCACAGTCAATGACACTGATGAGCAGAAAGCTTGCCATGAGAGGAAATCTCTGCTTTTTCATTCATCTTTGAATATCAGTACACTGATTCAAAGGCCTAGTCTGTAATTAAGAGGAACTCATACATTAAAGCCATAGAAACCTACTGTATACATTAATTAAAAGCTGCAGTGAGGTATAGATGCTCAATTATCTTTTACTGCAGTGCTTTCAAGCATGACTGGTATAAATAAATCTACAGCAACATCAAAATATATGCACAACAGGCTCCAATCATGCGTTAGATTTGCGTTTGATTTGTCAATTAAGGGACTGTGCTATACGTATATATGCACGCATATTTGGTGAAACATTGCCATTAAGAGATGGAGCCAGGCAGCATGACACAGAGGCTTCAGACATTCACACTGTCTGCTGCAGCTGCAGCAACTGTCAACAAGATGGAAAGGACATATTGCATCTGAGTAAAGGAGGGAAGGGAAGACTGCAGCATGGCATGGTTTAGCAAATCATTGTTAGAGGTACTTCATCC